TTAGAATTATGTTCCAACATAGTTTCGTGTCTTATAGAGTTCATATTGCACTTCGGTATCTTATTGTAACATATCTGCTTTCAAGAACTTGTATAAAAGTATAGTTTTTATATGACATTAATAGAAAAGTACATTAATGACAAATGTGTCATTTTAACATCGAAGGATAGGTTAAATACCTGAGCTTTCCTCGTACTGTTGGTTGCATATTGTGATTACGCAATAATGTGGTCTGGATTGCAATTTAGGATATGCAACCGGTAAGACTTTGATGGATAGAGGGACTAGGGGCGTAAGTGATGGAAATTTGGAGAGATATCTTGATGAAATGATAATTAGGATAGGTACAAACGATTTTTATTAGTCGAATGATAATAGTTAACAATGGAATAATTTAAAATAATTTAAATTTAAATTTGAGCTTATTTTGCTATTAATTCATGTGAACTGATTTTAAAACGATTTTTTATATCAATTTGAATATGAAAATCATACAGTAGATATTAAAAATAAATCCCTTTGCATATATCACATATTTTCTACCTATAAATACCAGGAGAAATAGATATATATGTCTGTAAATATTTCATAACTACATTTGCACAAAGTTAATGTTCGGTGCGGTGCTATGTACAATTTTTTATTAGCTGTATTGTGGGTTGTAGAAACACAACATGAGTAATTTGGTGGGCCTATTTCTTATACCATCTTCTAAAAATGTGTATCAGGAGTTTTTGATGCAAATGATGCTCGCATGGCTTCAAATCGTATTGTTATATGTAGCTGCTAATATAAATTACTCCTACAGCACAACAATTATTTGGTCTTATTTTTCACACTATTTCGGATAAAATCTTCAAATTGTAGGCGACTGTAGGAAAGTGTTCCATTAGAAAATATGTAAAAATATAAGGTGGTCTATTAATGTGCCAAAACATAATAGTTCCTTTATTATAAAAAAAAACGTGTTCAAATAAAAGTTGAAAATTAAAAAACACTTTGTTTTCTTTTTAAATAAACTTATATACCAATATTTTATTTTTTTATACAGGGTGTCCCAGAATATGTGGGCAATCTCTCGGATTTATACGGGGGCGTTAAAATAACATGAAATGTTCCTATACAAATTTTCCCTAGAGAGGAGATACAGGCCTCTAAAGGACGCCCTCAAAATTTTTAATAGCTTTTAAAATACTTTGTGTAATTTCATTATTTTTTAATACCATCATATTACCTATATAAAATAATAACCTAATCTAAGCTTTGTCTACTATATTGTTAAATACAGAAATTCTAACTGTTGGCATTTAACAAAGAAATACAAATTTTCACAAACATTTTTTTTTGTAAAATTTAAAGATTATTTGAAATAATTGGACAACGCCATAACTGAATATAAAATTATTGACACCACCTCACGTAGATATTTCGATTATTCAAATACAAAGTTATTACAAAATGCTGTAGAAAAAAACAAGAACACTTGAAAATACACAGAAAATACGACAATATTTGACAAACAATAAAAAATATTTAAATAGAGTTATCCTAAAAATAATTTCTTAATATTAGACACCGTGGTATGGAAAATATCAATATTGCCCTTCAAATTAGCAAAATTTCGACACATTACATATAAAGGAGCATAGGAGTTATAGCCTTAATGCGATGTGAACTAATCTTATGATTTTTTAAAAGGAGCAACTTTTATAAAGTAAAGAGTGGTTTGTTAGTGTGGTATTTTACTTTACCACACTAACAAACCACTATTTACTATACAAAAGTTGCTCCTTTTATAAAATAGTAAGATTAGATTACATCATATTAAACTGCTGTTTAATTATTTATCTCCATAGAATGAATAAGAAGGCGTCACTATCGTCTACCAATATCTAGAAGCTATTTATTATTATTAATATTTAGATATTATTTTATTTTTCCTGGCATTTTTAGGTGATAATTATTTAAATTTAGAATTGTTTAAAAACTATAAAAAATCCACTTTTTTGGTAATCTATAAATGTTACAAAACTTTTTAGCCCTTTCATTTCTCCATGGTGGACATCCTTAAATAAATCGGGTTGAATGATAAATAGACTCTACTGACAGATCTTCATCATTGAATGGGCAGTTGTAATAATACATTTTCTAATTTTCGGAGGCTTAATAGCAAATGAAATATTTCGTATTTTATTAATCTATTACACATCCGTCGCTAATAAATATGAAAGGTACATTCCATTTGTGAATTATTTCGTCACATAAAACATTTGCAAAGATATATTAAACAAACGGAAGAGAGATGACTTATGTATTTTAATAGTCATAGCTCATTAAGGTGTTAGTTGGTGCGAGGAATATTGTGCGTTGAGTGTTTAATTAATGGTATTTATTTACGGAAATATAAGCATATCAAATTTTCAGATATGTATGAAAGGAGGATGATATCAGTAAGTTACTTTGGTTACTGATTGCATTTTAAATAGTGTTATGTTGACATTTTGGACCCTGTAATTATTTCCCTGCTGAAATAGTTGATCATATTGTTGTATACATATTATGAGTACTAGAATAAAATTAAATTAAACTTAAATGGCTAAAAAAATTAAATAATACTTAAGCATTCGTTTCTTAACAGATGAAGACATTAATGCAATACTGATATAGCGACCGATGAAAGGAATTAATTAGAAAAAAAATTGCTATTAAATTTTAATCATCATCCATGTGAGTCATCAATGCCCGTCGTCCCCTGGGTTTGTTGGAAAATGCGCTCAATTATGGTATTTCAAACTAAAAATAATGTTTATTTTTGCTACAAAATACACCTTCATTCAGAAATTGAACTGTATTTTATTAGCCTAATGATTAAAATATTATATTTAATGAAATAAGAGAATAATCCAACGAAAATATTATATTCGATAGTAATTGCGTTATCTTTGGAAAGGTGGAATATGATTTAAGTAATTTTTCGCAAGGAATTCTTATATTTTATCTATAATTACATTTTAATTTTCCGATATCTTTAATGGCTGATTTAAGAACATTTGTTTTAACTAATTTGTTCTCAATTAGGTATGTAATTACAAAATTTACACTTGTGGTATTTACTATTCATTATTTACCTTTATTTTATAATGCAACAATTCTGTGGAGGTACTTCAAAATTCAGGCTACCAGCGGAATTCAATTCGGGCTTCTCCACAACCTCTGATTGAATTGAATTGAATTTCTTTTACAAAAATGTCAAAACACTCATTGCCGTAGAAATTTTTTATTTTGTCGATGTTTTGCGCATAGTACCTTTAAAATACGAAATTTCTACGCTACTGAGTTTTTCCATTTTTCCATCAATTTAATATTCCTATAATTGTAGTTAAAATCTCTTTTTCACAAAAAACCTTTGACGTTTCAATTGAGATCGGAAAGGCTATAACAAATTTAACATTAAAACAGTTTTTTGGAGAATTTTGTGGATTAATTTTGCACAAATACAGCCAAATAATGACGCATTAAATTTAGAAATTCTATTTACAGCTTACTTTGCAAAAAATGCAATAAACGTCATATTGGAGAGACCTCCCCACCAATATTAGACTAGATATACACGAAGAAAACACTTAGGAAAATACTCATATAAATTCAATGGTTCGGATAAAATTCTAAAGAAAGAAAATACGTAAAAGATTTAAAATAAAATTAAAGCGATCTTTGTATTAAATGGTGAAAGATGTGCATCAAAGTACTCCGTGACTCTTCATTGACTGCAACTATTAAAAGAATAAGTAATTAATATTAGAATGAACATCATATATTTAAACTAAAATCTGGTCGCCGCCAGCTACAAAATTACCTTTCACTTTCTTAGATTTAGTTAGGAAACGTTGCCCTGCTGTTGTTGTTCTCGGGCTAGCCTCTGAGGCGGCGGATCCGCATTAGAACCCCTAAGCTCGTCCTGCCGTTCATTTCGGTTCTTGACTGATCCATTTGGCGCAAAAGTATATTCCATTACTTTTTCAATTTTACGTTAGTGGCAGGATATCCAAAACAAAAACCAGAAAAAAAATCAATGTATAAAATTCCTCTAAAACATATCGTTAAAGAAAATTAGGTACATTATTTCTGAGAACAATACATTTCTACGTGGATAAGCTTAAAATAATGGGTTCTCTTATAACATTGAACTAGAATTAAGTGCCTGCATTTAAATAATGAGAAGAACATTAAAAAAATAAACAGTGATTTGTCAGAGGATACCCCACACAAACACTCGAACTTGAATTAAGCGATGCATCCTTGTTTTTAATCCGACAGAAGTTTTTAGCAAACAAAAATATTTTATTTTAAAATCCGTCGCCTTAATTCCAATTTAAAGCGTTTGACCTCTAATAAAATTATCCACACATAATTTTTATGACAATTTTTAACGAAGTGTTTCGTTATTATATTACTGTTTGTACAGATCAGCTGAACATATGGCGCTCATTTAATCCAAACACAAATCTAAACCAATAAAATTAATTCAGCATTATTAAATGTATTTTCGAAATCGAACCCCGTTCTTTAAATAGTGCTATCGGCTATTGACGTATTTTTTCGACAGTGCTCGACTCGACGCTAAAGACGCTTAGCGCCGGTACCTTAAATCATTCGAACACGTTGTTAGTGGTTAGAATAATACAGTGAGTCCTTTTTGTTTAATTTCGGTGGTAAAATGTGAGAGAATATTACATGAAATATTACACTGTTCTTCTATTTTTGATTTAACTCCCTGTAACAAAAATAGTTTGTGTGTTGTGTATTTTGGGTATGCACTTTTAGGTTATTTAGAGTTGCACACAAAACAAACTGACTTTTTTCTCAGAATTGTCCGTCACTGCATGATTAACATATGAAAAACTATTTCAACGTTTAATGCAGACATCACTGCAGTCTCCACTTACGTTCATTGCTTAAATTAAATTGTAACTCATTCAGCTGGAGTTCATCCAGTTAAAAGGTACTAAAACTAATATTTCGTGTAATATCAATGATCACAAATGTCACTAGGTGAATTAGTGGTGGAACTTTGGATAGTTGAAGACATCAGTGATTAAGTGTGGGAAATAAGGAAGACATTGGAGGATACAAATCAAGTTTCGAATTATGAGCAACTACAGGAACTACGTAAGTTTCGTTTGACAAGACAACTCAAGATTTGTTCTCCTGAAATAACTTTAATGATAATCGTAAATTTGTTTTTCGTTCAGTGCTGGAACTGAGGTATATTTAGGTTTCCTTGTTCCTGGTCGAATTCGAAACAATACACTATAAAATGTATAAACTTCTCTTTCTCAAAGTATAAACTGTAGCTGCACGAAATATAAACATAAGAGACTGAGGAAGTAGTTTTATAGTCAAAATAGTAAAACGTATACTTTTAAAACTGAAACCAAAAATATCTAATTGACTAAGCAATTACCAGTATGGACTTGAAGCACCTGCGTAATTGTTTTCCTATTTCGAATTTAAAATCAGAAGTTAGTGAGTTATTTTAGTTTTTTCAATTACCTGTTAATATACTGTTTAATTTTTTCATGCTTTCCTAAAGATCTGTTACTATGAAATTGGTAGAAAACAACATCATTAATAGAGACATTTATATGTGGATATTGACAGATGTTCAGTTCCTGAAGTATATCTAATGAACATTATTTTAGTATATTAAAAAAATAGCAATGCTTAATAATCACAGTATGTCACGTTATAAAGTTTCTGATAACCCTTTCTGAATGCTTGTTTCTTCTTATTATTTATCTTAGCAGAAATCTTGCAAGGGACAAGTAATTGAGGAATAATTCATAGTTGTCGCATCCAAAGCAATTAATATTATATTGGATTAATTTGTAATAGTTTTTGATACTTTTTAAAATGTAGATTGAAATTAAAAATACTGAACATATTTCTAGAAATCAAATATTTTGATGGAATACTCTGACATATTCATATCTACTTGAAATAAATGTGCTTCTCATACCAACAATTATAAAATGTGTATTAACTGCACCATAAATTTCAATATTTGGATTAATTTAATGAGAATATTGCTTACTGTATGACACCATTCTAAATAGTATTTAAAACGACTTTTTTAACGATCAAGTAAAATAAATATGAATTAATAAACAGTTATATTTTTTAGCTCATCTCATTGTTTCATTGGTTTGTACATGTTTCAAGGAATTTTTAATGTGTAGAATTGAAATCATGTGGAGATGTCCAAAAATGATTCAGTGTATAAATATACAAATCAGATTATGACAAAGGACGGAATTATCAGATTTCACTTTATTCTCTATATGAATATGTAATTTTACATCAAAGCTATAGAAGCAGGTATTTTAAGACCTTTATTTAGACTCACAGCAGACTGTCTACACATATTTTCTCGTCTGTACAAAAGAGGCATACAAAACTAACATCCTTAGAAGTGAAATTTAATACATTGCCACTAATTTGACAAATGTTTCTGTTTTCTTCGTAAATCAGGTGTATCGGTCTTGGTAACTATTTTTGTACAGATTTCTATCGTAAGGGGAAATCTATGGTTGATTCAACTCTTCTTGAAACCATATAATAAACTAAAATCTTCATTTTACAATGCAATTTTTAAATTAGATTATTATATGTGATTGAATATTGAAAATACCTTTTGAGTATAAATCTTCGTAACTTCAAACTTTTTAAGCTAGTTCAATTTAATTTTATATATTTTCCTAAATTCTAATTATATTTATTAGGTGTTATTTATATAGGTAGGTACTTAAGGAAATAATTATATAGAGAAGATCGTAACTACTTAACAATAATCTAAAAAATATATTAAAAATAGTCTAACCATACGGATACTTTGGGGTTTATTTCTTATAGTTTGCATTCGAGGTATTTCTTATTCTTAATTACTGTTTTGGTGTCAAAAAATGGATGTCACATAGCCAATGTTTCCAATCCAAAATAGTATACATAATCTTTTTGAATCAGCATCTTGTGAGGATTTGTAGCAAGCAAAATTCGTCATATTTTTGTTGAGTAACAGGACAATTTGACGAAATTCAGGAAACTTGTCCATCATTTAAACTATTACCATCACATATTACAATATCGCCTTAAAAAAGGCTGAAATGAAACAAAAAAAAGATTTCAAAAATTTCGTTTTTATGTACAAATTTAATAAATTTCATCGATTGTCAATTGTCTCTGCATGTAGAACAAATAAAAATAACGCCCATCGAATTTCACAAAACTTTTATTATATACGAGGGACAGACGAAAACTGCAAATCGGCCCAAGAGTAAAGTACCCTTATTTTCAATCCTAGGGGAAAATGTTTTAAAGAAGAGCTATTTCCCTTTAAAAGATGAGCCAGAATATAAAGTTTCAGTTAATTATGATGAAAAAGCGATTCCTGACAATTTTGCAACTTTCTCTCGTACTATAATTCATCACTAAAGTGACGTTACGTTTATTTAGTACGTTTCTACAAGAAAAACATTATATAATTCCTTAAAACAAGTTGAATCAGGAAGAAAATAAGAACAGATTTGGTGCAAACTTTATTTTATGTCCAAGAATAATTTAAATGTTAACGCTAATTTAATGTTGTTCAAGAAGTATCGCCTATAATGTTTCACCTAGAAGTACGGTTGTCCGTAGTCATAGAGTTGATTGTTTTCTTTTGGCATTTCTTATTTGTTTTTTTTTGTATAACCTTTTAAAATAAATATTGTGTTAATATTTTTTGAACGAATGAACTGAAACTGTTAATTTAAGAATTTACATAGTTTTTATATATTTTTTGAACATAAAATGAAGTTGGCACCAAATTTGTTCTTATTTTCTACACCATTTGTTATAACGGCCGTATTATTTCGTGATTCAACAAGTTTTCAGGAATTATGTTTTTCTTGTAAAAGCGTACTAAAGAAACGTGACTTCAGTAATGGATGATTTCGCTAGAATTATGGTACGAGGGAAAGTAGCAAAAATGTGAGGAATTGCTTTTTCAACAGAACGAACTGAAACTTTATATTCGGGCTAATGTTTTAGAAAGAATTAAGTTTTCTTTATAACATTTTCTCCTAGGGTTGAAAATAAAAGTACTTTACTCTAGGGCCGATTTGCAGTTTTCGTCTGCCCCTTGTATATAACACACGTTTTATGAGGCTCGATGGGCGCTATTTTAATTTGACGACATGCAGAGACAACTGATAATCGAAGAACTTTTTGGATAGCGCTGTATATTAAAATGTCGAAAATTATCTCACGTACCTATGTAATTTGTCTGTCGTTCATTTGTCATTATCATTCACTACAACCGATAATTAAATATTTACATGTTACAGTAATGGAGAATGAAAATTATAACAAACTAGACATATAACAGTATACACATATTTCAGAAAACTTCTATCTATACAAAACATATAAACATAGCCAATTCTCATTTCCGAAATTCTGCGAAAATCATGTGCAAAGAATCACGACTTTTGTTTTAAGAGCATAAAAACATATGCCGATTTTTCAGCGTATCGACGCTTCCTACTTTATATGAGTTCACTGACTTGTCAACATAAATATATTTTTATAACCAGATGTTAAAATGACAAGAAATTTATAGAAGGGGTTTATGTAGAAAATGATAGTTGACTTTCCAGTTGCTTTTCTCAAAATAAATCACAACCGTACTGTTGAACATTAATTTATGTGAAATATTTGCGTATTACATACCTAGATTCCAATATACCCACCTAGATCGTGAAGATAAATTATGTACGAGTCGGCAATTTTTTAAAATTTTGAACTCAAATGTTTTTCAATACATTTATTTTTGCTACTGTTATTACTACTTTTAAAGCGTATTGAACGTTTACCGCGATTGGTTTATTTTAACTTACTGTTTGTATAAATAATAAACTTTGTAAAATATTTTGTTAGAATCAATGAAATAAGTTTGAAATTAGATAAGTACTTGTTTATCATTTCAAGACTTTTACTAACTAAAACATTTTTGTAACAGACCCATTGCACCTTACTACTAACTAGACTTTCGGTTGAAGAGAGAAAATTCGAATATATGAGAAGAAAAAAAGTATTTTTGTTGAAAACATAGATAGTTTGTAAGCAATATCGACACTCATATGACATTATGATGAAATATTTTACATATTGGACGATAGACAAGCAAATTCCATTTTAAAGTATCATTTCGTAACTAGGCATTAAATATTTTTGCACGATATTTTAACATATGTTTGGATCGTGTCACAATATAAGAACAACAAGAATTATATAAAAAATATACCTTGAAATTCAAAAATACCTAATTACCGAAATAACTTGAAGGTGGCAGCACGCAAATACTAGAAATATGCAAGGTCAAGTAAATTAACTAATTAACAGTTAATTCATTCACTAAAAACAAATTTTTTCTATACCTTTGAATATTACACACATACTTTGTTATAAATTCTCTAATAGGTACACATTTTGTATAGGAATTCAACTTTCTAAAGACAGGAAAAATTTGCACGTGAATTATTATAAACATTTGTTTTATGTTGTAAGGAGGTCCAGAGAAGTGATTTGTTCCATGAAATGATACCTACTATAGGAATAAAACCGATACCAGTTGGTTTAACGTCAATAAAAATTCAAATTACTTCCGTCAAAATAAATAATTTAAACATAATAAAGAAGTGGGTGAAAACACATTATGCTTACAGATCTTATTTAAGGTTAACTGAGTTTAAAGTCAAAATATTTTAATTTATAGTTTTACAAAGTGTAAAAGCGACGTCGCCATACACTTTAAGATCCGATTGCTCAGCACAATAAAAAAATTCTTCCTTAAAACTATTTTAGGAGCTCTAGGATTCTTTAATGATATGATGTGAAGTAAATTTTGTTTTATTTTTTAATTACTCAAACAATAAATTTCAAATGAGGTATTTACAGTGTTGTTTTCTTATAGCACTTACCAATATAATAAATTAAAATACAATTTATCTACGAACGGTAACGTTAAAATTAGACTGAATACGTTGAAATTAAATTAAAAATTTTTTATGTCGACGGGAAACTTCTTTTACAGATCTGGGTAGGCGATTTATAACCAAACTTTTTGTGAC